AAACAATGAAGGAGAGATATTTGTTTCTACAGTTACACTTTGGAAATTCAAAATGAAAATGTAATTTATAGCCTTCTAGAATTCCAGAAAAACTAACCTAACATAATCCTCAGAAATTGAGAATGATTGAAAAGATCAAGGTGGCTGCAAGAATTTGGGGACATGAAATAGTTACAATTTACATAATTTCTATCAAGTTGTCACAAAATGTCACCCAAAAAAAGCCTAAACTTTAATACTATTGTCTTATAATAGTCTGCTGGTGCTATAAACAGGTCACACTAACAACAATAACTGAACAATGAATATTTTAAATATAAATATCATTTGGTAATTGTAACAAATTGAGCAAGAATATAGGATAAATAGCAGGGTGATTGCAGAAATAAAGAAATTTGGTGAACAATATTCCCGTAAATAATCTTAATTTTTTTTCTGAATCAAGAAAAGTAAAGAAAGCAAAGTTGAAAAGCAAAGAATTTTCATAAAATTTATTAAGGTACATTGAAATTGTTAGCCATTTTGAGCTATGGGTCTGTTAGGATTAGCTTACATTGTGAAATATGTGCAGAGAATAGCTGTTCCCACGGATGATTCCTGGCTGCAGGCAGAGAGCCCAACTAGGTGTTCAAATCCTATAGACCTGACAGTTATAGCATTTAGAGCAGGTTGGTGAAAGCACAAGGAAAAAGAAATCCAAGATGGTCATGGTTTCTCAGCGCTAGTGTTGGCATAACTAGGTTAATAATGATAGATATGAGTGGCCATAATAAATTCAAAGATATAAAAATAAGAATCTATGCACATGCTACATAATGCATTGTGCTGTGATGATTTTGAGCAAAAATGCATCCTCTGTCAGAAGCAGTAACAGATTCATAAATATTGATGAGAACATTTATGAAAAGCAGTCCTGAAATAGACATTTGGAAATTTGATGATTGTTTACAGACATTGTCTCTTCCATTGAGGAACAGTTTTTTTTTTTCTTTTTTTTCTTTCCTTTTCTTTTTTTCTTCACACTATTTGTTGAAATCTTTTATCGAGGGTAGGGATCTTTAAGTAAACTGAAAATAGATTTTTGTAAAAATTAACAGTGGGAATGCGAGAGGGATGAGAAGTAAGATTGGAGTGTGGCAGGCAATGCCATGGCCGAGAAAGAACTTCTAAGATCAATCCCATTCACAATAGCTACAAAAACAAATACCTTGGAACCAACTTAATCAAGGACGTCAAAGATCTCTACAATGAGAATTACATTTTTTTTGACATGCAGAGTTAGAGAGAGAGAAAGGTCTTCCTTCCATTGGCTCACCCCCCAAATGGCCGCTACAGCCAGTGTGCTGCACTGATCCAAAGTCAGGAGCCAGGTGCTTCCTCCTGGTCTGCCATGCGGGGTGCATGACCCAAGGACATGGGCCATCCTACACTGCCTTTTCGGGCTACAGTAGAGAGCTGGACTGGAAGAGGAGCAACCAGGACAGAACCGGCACCCCAAACAGGACTAGAACCTGGAGTGCTGGCACCGCAGGTGGAGGATTAGCTTAGTGAGTCACAGCGCCACCCAAGAATTACAAAATCTTAAAGAAAGTAATAGAAGTGGATACGAAAAGATGGAAAAATCTTCCATGCTCATGGATTGGAAGAAACAATATCATCAAAATGTCCATTCTCCCAAAAGCAGTTTATAGATTCAATGCAACATCAATCAAATTACCAAAGACATTCTTCTCAAATCTGGAAAAAATGATGCTGAAATTCATATGGAAACACAGTAGACCTCAAATAGCTAAAGCAATCTTGTACAACAAAAAGCCAAAGGCATCATGATACCAGATTTCAGGACATACTGTGGGGCACTTATAATCAAAAGAGCATAGTACTGGTACAGAAAAAGATGGATAGAACAATGGAAAAGAATAGAAACACAAGAAATCAATCCAAACATCTACAGCCAACTTATATTTGATCAAGGATCTAAAACCAATTCCTGGAGTAAGAACAGTCTGTTCAACAAATCGTGCTGGAAAATCTGGATTTCCATATGCAGAAGCATGAAGCAAGACCCCTACCTTACACCTCACACTAAAATCCCCTCAACATGGATTAAAGATCTAAATCTATGACCCGACAGCATCAAATTATTAGAGAACACTGGAGAAACCCTACAAGATATAGGCACAGACAAAGACTTCTTGGAAAAGATCCTGGAGGCACAGGCAGTAAAAGCCAAAATTAACAATTGGGATTACATCAAATTGAGAAGTTTTTGTACTGCAAAATAAACAAGAAAGTAAAGAGGCAACCAACAGAATGGGAAAAAATATTTGCAAACTATGCAACAGATAAAGGTTTAATAACCAGAATCTACAAAGAGATCAAGAAACTCCACAAAAACAAAACAAACAACCCACTTAAGAGATGGGTAAAGGACCTCAACAGACATTTTTCAGAAGAGGAAATCCAAATGGCCAACAGAAACATGAATAAATGTTCAGGATCACTAGCAATCAGGGAAATGCAAATGAAATCAACAACAAGGTTTCACCTTACCCTGGTTAGAATGGCTTACAAACAGAAATTTACCAACAACAGATGCTGGCGAGGATGTGGGGAAAAAAGGACACTAACCCACTGTTGGTGGGAATACAAACTGGTCAAGCCACTATGGAAATCAGTTTGGAGATTGCTCAGAAATCTGAATATAACCGTACCATACAACCCAGCCATCTCATTCCTTGGAATTTACCCAAAGGAATTAAATTGGCAAATGAAAGAGCTGTCTCCACCTCAATGTTTATTGCAGCTCAATTCACAATAGCTAAGACCTGGAATCAATCTAAATGCCCATCGACAGAAGACTGGATAAAGAAATTGTGGGATATGTACTCTACAGAATACCATACAGCATTAAAAAAAATGAAGTCCAGTCATTTGCAACAAAATGGAGCAATCTGGAACACATCATGCTGAGTGAAATAAGCCAGTCCCAAAGGGACAAATATCACATGTTCTCCCTGATTGGTGAAAACTGAGCATCTAAAAGGAAACCTGTTGAAAGGGACACTATGAGAAACAGTGACTTGATCAGCCCTTGTCCTGACTTTGGAGGAACAACTTACTGCTTTATTCCTTGTAGTATTTTTTTCCTACTTAATACTATTGGTTGAACTCTTTAATTAACACACAATTATTCTTATGTGTTTAAATATAACTGAAAAGTGGGAATAAGAATGGGAATAAGAGAGGGAGGAGATGTACAGTTAGGCACATGCTCACTCGGACTTACCCTTAATGGTAGAGTTAAAAACGTTCCAAAGTATTCCAATCCCATCAAGGTGGCATGTTCCAATGCCAGCTCACTAGTCAAAGTGATCAGTTTCAGTTCATAATTAATCGTAATGATAGGATTAAGAGTCAAAGGGATCACATAAACAAGACTAGTGTCTACTAATACTAACTGGTAGAATTAAAAAGGAGAGAACAATCCAGCATGGGAAGCAAGATACTCAACAGACTCATAGACTGGCAGATGTCATAAACAATGTTCTGGCCTCAGAATCAGCCCTTAAGGCATTTGGATCCAGCTAAAAAAGCCCATGAGAGTATTTCAGGCATGAGAAGCCAAGACACTGTGGCAAAGAAAAAAAAAAAAAACCTAAATGAAAGATCTCTCTGAGTGAGATTCCAGTGGAAAGAACTGAAGGGTGGAGAGAACTTCCACTTTTGACTATGGCCTTGTCTAAATAAGATAGGAGTTGGCAAACTCAAGAAGCTTCCTTCCATAGCCTTGGCAGCTCATGACAAGAGCCCCAGGTGATTACTGACGTCATAAATAAGAGTGTCAATTGTTAAGTCAACAATGGGAGTCACTGTGAACTTACTCACTATGTAGGATCTCTGTCCTTAATGTGTTGAGCTGTGTGAATTAACAGTATAACTAGTACTCAAACAGTACTTTATACTTTGTGTTTCTGTGTGGTTGCAAAGTGTTGAAATCTTTACTTAGTATATAGTAAATTGATCTTCTGTATATAAAGATAATTGAAAATGAATCTTGATGTGAATGGGATGGGAGAGGGAGCAGGAGATGGGAGGGATGTGGGTGGGAGGGAGGTTATGGGGGGAAAAAGCTGCTATAATCCAAAAGTTGTACTTTGGAAATTTATATTTATTAAATAAAAGTTGAAAAAGAATCGGAGTGTGGGCGGAGGGAGGGTAAAGGGAGAAATATCATTAAGCTCCTAAATATGTATATATGAAATACATGAAGCTTGTATAACTTAAATAAAATATTAAGAAGTCACTTTGAGAATACATGTGAATTGCAAGAAATTAAATCTAGAAAAGTCAATGCTTTGTAACTGAATAATCACAAAGGAAGAATGCCAACCTAAAGGATAGATAATTCCATAGTCAATGGCTAAGATGGAATCCAATAAATATTAAAAAACTGTAAAAAATGTATATATGGTCTGAAAGGGTGAAAGGTGTCACTATCCCTATGGTTTGGGAAATGATACTTGAAAGTAACTAGGAAAACTGGCATATTGTGAATGACTTGAAGGTCTCACAGTGTAAACAAGGAAGATAGCAACAGGTTTCTAATGTTACCTCTGGGATGAACTTTATAATTAATGCTATCCATAAGACAGAGTAATAGATTCAAAAGCAAAACAAAAATTAATAAGAAATGTAGACATTAAGAGATTTCTTGAATTTTGATTATTGTGAGCAGAAATGAACATTTGAGATGAACTTAATAAAATGTCAAGCAAGAGGACTTTTGTGAAAAAGTTAAGTTTATTTAAAAGACGTTGTAAAGATAATGTTTGAAAATAAGAAAGGATCATGTCATGTGACAGAACAATCCTATAAGAAAGCTACAAATGAAGAATGGCTTGGTGCTTGCTCTATGGCATAGTGAATAAAGCTGGTGCCTACATTGCTGGCATCCCATATGTGCACAAGCTCAAGTTCTGACTTCTTTTCTGATCCAGCTCTTAGTAAGGTCTGGGAAAGCTGTAGAATATGGCCCACATTCTTGGGCCCCTGCACCCATGTGGGAGACCTGGAAGAACACCCTGACTCCTGGTTCCTGGCTTTGGATTGGCCCAGCTCCAGCCATTGTGGCCATTTATGGAGTGAACCAGAGGATGGATGACCCCTGCCTCTTCCTCTACCTCACTGTAAGTCTGAATTTCAAATAATTAATAAATAAATCTTAAAAATGTTCCCTCGAATATTTTGAAAAATCAAATAATTTGTGGGTTCATAAAACTCCAGAAAGGACAACACTAAGTACCACTTGCAAAGGAGAAGAATGTCAATGGATATGAGTGATTGAGATTAATTGCAATAAATTTAGTGGCTAGAATGACAACCAGAGTTTAGATGCATTTGATGAATTTTCAATAAAGTCAACAAAGATGGCCACCACCTGCCATAATAGTATTGACATTAACTAGATTATTGATGATCAAAGGCAAAAGTAATAAATTCAGGGTCAAAGAGAAAAATAGAAAAGGGATACACATCCTATCATTTACATTGAATTTTCATTTTTGTAGGTAGAAATGAGTAATTTGGTATGAACACAACTGGAGTGAAACATATTTATAATATCATTGGAAAAGATATCTCTGACAATTAACTCACATTAAAATAAGGCAAAGTTTCATGCACTAAGTCCAAAAAATATGGAAGAATAAGCATAAAGGTGAGATCCCATTATCTCAATCTCAGTTACATCAGATTTAAATTCAATATTGAAATCCAGCTACTCATGATTTTAATTAAAGAAATTATTAAAAAAAAAGAATATATGATTTGAAGGGCTGAAAAGAGTCCATAGCCTCAAAAAGGTTTTGAGAAAAAATGTATAGATACAATTTAATAGAGTATATTATGGAACTTGAAATGAATTGATGCACTCACAATGAAAAAGCTAGCAGATATACACGTTTTCATGGATATAAAGCCTTGCAGTGAGGCATTAATGACAAAAACAGATAAAACTAATAAAATTGAAGACAAAAAAGATAAGTGGTAGTGGCATGACAAGAAAAATGGTTTTGTGATTCATGTGAGTGGAGCAGTTATTTAGTAGTATCTGTTAGGAAACTGGCACAGTTTTATCTATGGTGCGATCTACACTCTGATTTACATCCAATGCCGCAGTTCCCGCCACCATTGCTGAAAGGCAGGTAGCCACACGACCCAACCACTGGTGTCAAGCTCCACCCCCATCCTAAAGGGATTAGATATTCCTACTTCCCTTCCCACCCTCTGGCAAAGTTTTAAAAGGGCCTATTCCTGAACACGTGGCTCTCTAGGCTCCGGTCATCTGCTCTCCTCTCCCCCTCTCGTCTCTCTTCTCTCCTCATTAGCTCCTCTCCTCTCTGTTTCTCTCTTATACTTTCATTTTCTCTCTTTCTCTTCTTCACCCCTTCCCTCCAGCCTGCTGGGTTTCCCCAATAAACCCTTTCCCTTACTCCGGTATTTGGTGTGTTTTGTGATGGCCTAACAGAAATACATAACAGTAGGAATAATAGCATGATAAACATGAATAAAGAAATTAGGTGAACAAAAAATAGGGTCTGGCCTTGTGGTATAGCAGGTAAAGCTGCTGTCTGAAAAGTCAGCATCCCATATGGAAACCAATTCAAGTCCCAGCTGTTCCACTTCCAATCCAGCTCTGTGCTAATGCACCTGGGAAAGCAGTAGAGGATGCCCCAAGGGAATGGGCTGCTCCTACCCACATAGGAGACCCAGTTTAAGCTCCTCACTTCTGCACAATTTTGGCCATTTTGGCCATTTGAGGAGTGAACCAGCAGATGGGAGATTTCTCTGTGTCTTCTCTCTCTAGCTTTGTTTTTCAAACAAATCAATAAATCTTTTTAAAAAAACAGACTGTAAAGAAAATTTCTAGGTGTGGTGCTGGGGCTAAGGCATAGTGGGCTAAGCCTCCACCCACAGCAGGTACCAGGTAAGGTCCAGACTGCTTCTCTTCCAATCCATATCCTTGCTTATGACCTGGGAGAGAATAAGATGGCCTGAATCTTTGGGCCCCTGCACCCATGTGGGAGACCTGGAACGAGCTCCTGGCTCCTGTCTTCAGAATAGCTCAACTCTGGCCTTTGCAGCCATCTGGGGAGTGAACCAGCAAAAGGAAGACTGTTCTCTCTGTCTCTCCCTCTCTCTGTAACTCTACCAAATAAATAAATAAAACTTTAGGAAAAGAAAATTTCTGGAAATTAAATGAAGGAAATATGTCATGGAATACTTACATGGAATATATTGTCATGAATATAAAATATTAATTATCAGTGCCATAAAATCCAGAGAAGAATATCCTGCAAAGGAGAAAGATCATTATCCCTGGATGATTCTGAGATGTGGTAAACATGAAAGTTTCTAGGACCAATTGCAGAATTTAGATAAGAATTGATGACCTAATAATGAAAATTAAAATCCAGGTAGCCACAACCTCCTTGGGTTTGAATTGGAGTCAAGGAATTTACTCATGATACACATGGGTCATTGTAATAAATTCAAAGAAAAAATGAAAAATAGGTATATGTTATTATATATTGTTCAGTGATAATTCTGAGTAGAAATGAATAATTAGGTAGGGCAGTAATAGATATACAAGCAGACATAATAAACATTTATAAAAGGTAATTCCCAAATTGCTCTTACTGATTTAAGAGTATGCATATCTGTTTTGAGTCTCATGTATGGACAATATATTGGAATTCAACTAGAAATATAAATTCTGAGACTATAAAATGTACTGCAATGTACAAGATTTTAAAATATGTACAATTATGGGTAAATAGTGGTTAGACTACACATTCATGAATATAGGGCATTTATGTTTTATTCACAGTATGAGACACACAATAGGTGCTCAATTACTGGGCTCATTTTTGTGAAACTAAGGCATTATATAATGTGGAGTTTTTTTCTTTGTAAATTCATTTTAAAAATTAAAATATATACTGTTTTTCGTCTACTAGGAAGACAAAAATAAAAAAATATTTGATGGCACATAGGGGGCAAATCTGTGCTCTCATGAACATTGCCAGAGAGAGGACCACCAAAGACAGCTGAGCAGCTTGTGCACTGAAAGCCACCATGCCTGGGGTGTGATGGAAGTGGGGAACAGGGCATATGCAGCCAGGGGACAGCTTATGCAAGCTGAGTAAATCCTGGAAAGGATGTCTTCTGGTAACTTTCAGCCTAGGAGGGCAGGAAAGCTCTTTGCTGCCTTGCTGTTATGGTAGAGGTTTTATATAAGAGTGTGAAGTAGGGCAAGTTATTTCAGAGCAATTTGGAAAAAAATCTAGCAAACTTCAACATCACTCAGAAAAATATTTTACATGTATTCTTACATTTGTAAGTGGAAAGATATGGGCATAAACATTCCTGAGGATAGAAATAGTCTGTAGGATTATAGAGTGATTGCTGATTGGAGAGTATGTACATAATTATTATATTCTGTAAAATTATAGACATAGCAGGGACTACTGTGGAGTGAATCCATAAATGCAAACACATATTCTTTAAAAGATGTTGAGTTAAACAAGGTATAGAAGAAACTTTTCTAATGATTGCATTTCTTAATCAAAAATCTTAAAAATATGACACTGAATTTTAACTTTAGTACTGACAACATTGTATATGTACACATGTACTTGAATATAGATTACTCAGATAACTAAATCTGATTCTATAGGACATTTAGAACATCTCGCACATATCACCACTAAATTTCATTTTAAATGCAAAGAATTGTGGGTGTTTTTTTTTTTTTGAAGAAAGTAGAAGCATATTACTAATAGAGGTGATTAAATTACTTTTTTTTTAAAGATAGATTTTATTTATTTGAAAGTGAGAGTTACAGAGAGGCAGAGACAGAGAGAAAGATCTATCCGCTGGTTCACTCCCCAGATGGCTGCAATGTCCAGAGCTGCGCCAATCCAAAGCCAGGAGCTAGGAGCTTCTTCCAGGTCTCCCATGTGGGTGCAGGGGCCCAAGGACTCGGGCCATCTACTGGTATCCCAGGCCATAGCAGAGAGCTGGATCGGAAGAGGAGCAGCCAGGACTAGAACCGATACCCATATGGGATGCCGGTGCTTCAAACCAGGGTGTTAACCCACTGCACCACAGCGCCAGCACCAAATTACATTTTTCTAAGTTAAATTTTCTTAAGCTTCTCTTTTCTGTCTTGTATTATCTTGAAGTACTTCTCCACACTTCTCACAAAGGCAATAAACAACTTATATCATTGTAAAAATTAAAAGAAAGGGTAAGAAAGGAAGGAGGAGGGAGAATGGAAGTGAGACTAGAGTGGGAAATTCACTATGCTCCTAATTCTCTCTATATGAAATTTGCTCACCTTATATAAATAAAAACTTAATAATAAAATTTTTTAAAGATTTTCACCAATTCCATCTAATTACCTTTCAGTAGCTGCCTGGGCCAGGTTATTTAACATCAATCATAATGTGAGGGGAAAATGTAATTGCTTTTGAAACAGTCTCCATGCCAGGAAGGGAATCCTCAATTTTGAGAAATTAAAAGCAAGGTTATTTTATTGGATAGAAGCAATAATCGGTCCTCTTATTGCTCTCCCTCTGCGAACACATAATTTTAATTTTTCCTCAAATGTAAGCCAAGAGTTAAGTAAAGTGGAACAGTGTTTTTGCATCAAGGAAGGTGTAGTAATTAGAAAGGACATAGGCATGAAAGGGCAAGCACTGAGTAGCACGTCTATATTCAACATTTTATATATGTATATGTGTGTGTTATATATCCAGCTGATAACTGGGTAAGCATTATGCCTTTTCTTGTTTCAATGTTTAGCCACAAAAACTCAAAATCCATCACATTTAGGGTTTCCTTTCAGTTGCTTTCACATCCACCTAGGTTTAACATTGTTCAACACATCCAAGTCCATAACTGGCTAAGTTTTTTTTTTTTTTAATTTAAATGTGTACACAGAATTAGTGCAACTAGGGGAATAAAATTATTATACATTGTCTACATGATTTTTATAGGTAATGTACATTTCTTAGGGGGAGGCATGGACTTTATTTTTGTTGCAGTGCACACTTAACTTGCATCATGTGAAGCAACTAGTGTTCTTTCTTGGATTACAGCTATTGCTTCACATGATGCAAGTTAAGTGTGCCAGTTATGGACTGTGGAAGTGGCTGTTAGGGTTGTTTATAAATGCTGTAAAGCAGAAAATCAGCGAACATCTTCTCCCAGGGTTATTAGGTCAAAAGTTACCTTAGTGGTTAGCCCAGAGTTAGTGGAAATGTGAATTATGTTTACAAAACATGCCTACTTAAAGGGTTTTGCTGCTGCAAAGATGAGCTTGAGATTATATTTAGAAGGTTTAGAGGAATTCATGATTATTCTTGATAAATTTCATTTAAAAAACACTTTTGATTGCAACAAGCATGTTAACAGCCACTTCCACAGTTTCATTTGCAAAACTGCATCTACGTCATTATATATATATATATATATATATATAAAGCTCATTCATTCTGCAAAAGGTAGATTCAATCTCTGTATTATTTACACCTAATGCTTTCACTCAGACCTTCAAACAGAGATTTAAAAGAAAGATCCCGGGAGCTAAAAGTTCACATCCATGTGGGGCCGCTTCCTGAGATCCCAGCCTTCATGGCCAGGTCCCTTCCATTGTATTCATTGCTTCTCTGGGGCTTCCTCCCAAGCTAAAAGGCAGGCGACCCGGCCCCTCCAGGGACCAGGCGTGGCTCACTCAGGGCCCATTGGCAACCCTGAATCCCTGGGCTAATGGGATTTGGCTGATGCCTTGTTCAGTGGGCTGGGCAAGACTGGAGTCTGAAGACACACATGTATTCTCCTGCACCTCACAGGGGCCAAACCAGTGGTGAGAGGCCCTTGACTCCAGCGTTGCAGACTGAAACAGGTGTCCCCTGTATACAGCCAGGGGTCCCGGTCGGCTGCGCCATGTTCAGGCACAAGGCGGCACAGAGAGGCATACCTGGCAGGCACACACGTACCTGTCATGGTCCCTGGGCAGGAGGAGGAAGCTAGGCAGGGAGGGGCATATGTGCCTGCCACCCCACAGCCCCTCTCACTAGCTGTGCAGACATGTGAAATCCTGCAGGCCACCTCACTTGTTGCCCAGCCTGAGGATATGCAGGCGCAGGTGCCCCGCAGCCAGAGCCATCCAGGGAGTCCTAGTTTGGAGAGGTAGTCTCTCCTAGCACAGCACGCAGCTTCCCTGCTCTTTCTAGTGGGAGGCCAGGGTAGCACACGTCACAGAAGGCGGGTCTATTGCCTGCCACATTGGTGAGCTGCTTAGCATCGGGGAGGCCCAGCTTTGGAAGCTCTGCAGCTCTAGCAAGGATTCTGCTGCCTTCCTGCCCTGGCCTCTCTAAACTCCCTTCACACAGGAGCTGCCCAACATCTGGATCATCCTGTGCCCTATGAGAGGGTGAAATTTTACAAATAACATGCATTTTTACATTTTTGCAGACCTCCTGCTCACAACCATGAATTCCAGTGTTTCACTATACTCTTTGTGAGGACAAGACCACTTCTAGGAAGATGGTAGTGGAGACCCTGAGATCGAGCAAATGCCCTGACAGGATGCTGAAGAGGACTAAGCTGCTGTCGCTTTGGGTGCTGTGGGAGCACCAGCCTCACTCCTTAGTTTCTGAAGACTTCACAGTTAAACCATGGTGAAAAACTCATTTGTAAATGATTTTCCTGAATTGAATGTGCTCGCTCAAATTTAGGGGCCACGAGATACAGAGATTTTCCGCCCTGGGATGATTTCTGAGCCAATTTCCTTGATCATCTTTGACAAAAATTACAATTATTCATGTGCAACAATGTGTTTCTGAAGTAGCACCTTGACGGTAGGGGCTCCATTTTGGAGCACTTGAGACTGCATTCTGGGAAAGTAACCCCCCACCCCCACCGTGAGACTCTGGTCTGAAACTATGATCTCAAATAGTCAGACAATAGCAGTGCACTACATCATCCTTGACAGAGCACAGAAAACACCTAGCATGATTGCTCAAGCTTGAAAGTAGAAAGGTTGCACCTGGGTTAATGATAAAGATGTGATTTGTCTATGCCTTACATATAATTTGGATTAATGTCAAGATCATAAATGATAATTGTAGGATTGTAACTGGTGTTGTCAAGATTATGATGGATATTAATTTCACCTAGGTCTTAGGTTATGTTGACCCCAGTAACTATGTGCTCTCTTTTTGGTCTTAGCAACTGTGTATAGCAACTGTGCATTCCCCCACTCCGGATTTTGTGTTTTTTTGCCTTTATAAACCCTATGCTGTAGATCCTCGGGGCTGCTCTGTTCTGGTTTGATCAGAGAGCCCCAGCATGCTGGAAAAAAAAAAAAAAAAAAAAAAAAAAACTTTTGCAATTTGCATGAGAGAGGTCTTTTGGAGTCATCCCTCGGGCAGTGGGCGTTCTCGACCTTAACATTCCAAAACTAGCCCCAGTTGGCAAAGGACCTTATAGAAGGCAAGTTCTTTGCTTTGAGGAACTTGAAAAGTGTAGCATGAGCTGATAGACAACTGAGAATGTAAACTCATTAAAACATCCACAATAAGAAATTTCATCTATTTAACCTTAGAAATTTTAGAGTATCCTAGCAGTTACTCTAACAACATTCTTACAAAATGGTAGCAGCTGTGAGAATACTGAAATGCAACTCAACATGAAACATGTCTCCTGATAGTCCTTGCACATGATATCTTTTAAAGATTCCAAGCTTTATTTCAGGTATCTCTGCCTTTTAATGCAATGCATATTTCCTTTCTATTGTTTGTGGTAATAAAAATTATTCTCAATACTGTTAAAGGATATTTAGGATGCACACCTGGTTTAGCTGCGTGCAGAACAGGTTATTTTAAAAAAAATCTTAACATTTGTTACATAGTTTTGAATTTGGCATGCAAAAGCAGATTTTGGCGATTAAACACCTGAGTGAGAAGAAGACATTAAATAAAGAAGTGCAGCTTTCACATTTTTATAATTGACACCTTTGGAGGATCTGATGCATTACACGCTAACTCCTTTGTGAAATGAAGGAGTGAAATGAAGTTTCCAGTGTTATATTATTTGTTTTATTTATATGTTGCAAACATAATACTTCATTACTAAACTATGAAATGTTATTGTAAACCTTTAGATCAAATTGGCTTGCTGCTACACAAATTGATAGTCTCACTTTGGAAATGTATGTCATTTGATATTATTTAGCATTATTGGGAATAAATTAAAATTCATTCTTGGTGTAGTAACTGCATTCCTTTTTCATGGAATTTTACATGAATAGGCTTTCATGACAGTCAAGTTTATTCAGCTCTCAGAATACCATAAATATTCAAGTTCATCATTCAGTTTTTCTTTTACACAGTATTTATAATTATAATTTTGCAGATTTTTCAATGTTATATTTTAACTTCAAAATTGTGTAAGAAAATTGATCACTTTTTCTAGGTACATGTTCATACCTTTCTAAATTAACAATTCAATAGCATAGCCTTACATCTAAAGTCATAGTTCTGAAAAACCAAGGATTTTAGTATTGCCAGACATGATAAATATGTCTCCAATATTAAAAAAAAGAATATGAAGCAGTTTTCCATATAGTTAAGTTATCAGATTATTATCTTCTTCCTTTTTTCACATCATGAAGGTAAAATCTCTTAGTGTTGATACCTATCTCTTACTGGGTAAATTTACTGGGTAAATCCTTTATAACTTTTTCATAAATCATAAAATTTGGATGTAAATATTATTTGCATTTATTCACTCAATAACTATTTTAAACACCCACTATTTACTAAGTACAGTGTGGGGATTTGGGATCAACAAACATAGTCCTCATCCTTAATACTTCAAGGAAAAACAACAAAACCAACAACAAAGTCTTCATAAGAGAAAAAACACTAAATATATAAAGCAACTTCAATGTGACAAGAAGTGAACATTTTTTTCCTATCCAGTATTTACATTTAACCATTTTTGTATTCAGCAGTGTAGACTTTTCAGCATTACAAAAGAAAATATTTCTATCTCTTTCTGAAGGCCTTTTTCTGTTCAGAATGTGTATGCCAATTTCCCACTTGCCATAATTATAGTCTCTTCTTCCCAAGGACACCATGTTTCCAGGGAAATGTGAATTCTGTCAAAGTACAGCTAATTAATTATATTAGCACCATTCTAATGGTTTGCTACACAAGATAAGTAGAACTATATACACTCCCAATATTTTCTTTGAGGGTGCTAATAGTATATAAATATTCAAGCTAGATCAAAAATAAATTTGGTCAAATGGGGTAGCAAGCATAAATCTATTTAAAGTGATAATCTTTAGGTAAGAGTTCAAAATTACCTACCAAAATAATGATAAATGTTAATGGCAAGTTTACTAAAATTGTGTGCCTATTGTTGTTTTTAACAGTGATTCTTTTTTAAAGAAATTTTTGTTGCAATCTATATGAAAACAAGTATCCCAAAAGCTCTAAAATCAGAGAGTAATATCCAAATTAATGTCATCAAAGTATTTTCCTATAAAGAGTGATATGCTCCTGGTTGAGGGAATGGGAGAAATAATATCCGTGCTACATATGTTTTGATCTCAGGATACAAACTGGGATCACCTGGGAATCTTGAAAACACTGATTCCTGGTCCCAACTTGAACATTTTGTATTTAATGTTCTTAATTATTCTTAGGTTTATTTAATTAGACTTCAATTCAGGGCTGATGATATTTGGGAAATAGTATGATACAAATATATCAAAAAACTTTAGATAGCTGTTCAGTTTTTTCAAAAATGCTTATTTAACAATGTTCTATTCCCCACTGCTTTGCATATTCTTTTAAAATCATATTTCATCAAAATAGAACTATTTTAGAAGAATTTAAACAAATATCAATTCTATTTATTAAAACTTGGTAATTTGTTTTAGAATTAGACAAACTGTTTTTGCTGTTAATTCAGATGCAGAATGTTTGTTCTAAATCTTAGAATTTTACCAGTTTAATCTTTGAAATTACTTTTTAATATACCAAACCAAACATACCTTTGATGTTAAAATTATCATAAAAATGTCAATGTCTAATTTATAGTAATATAATTTATCACTCAATCTGTTTTCCTAAGGAATTGTATATTTCATTTATAAGAAAACACCTCAGAAGACATTATTTTAGTCAAGTATTTTAATTATATCTAATATATTTTATTTAAATTAGGTTCTTCACAATTTAAAAAAATTTACACATTCAAAATATTGGAATATAAAATAGGTATGTATTCAACACTGAGATGTAATAAATGATGTTTTAATAAATTTCTACTCTTTTAAGTAAAAAAGAATAAACATTTACAAAGGGAACTACAGTCTTATTCCTTCTTCATCCTCCCAGAAGAGTAACCTCTAACTGATAATATCAGTTATAATCAGTATCAGTGGGGTCTATGAGTGTCACAGTTGTCTAGTCTGCAGCAGTTCACTGCAGTGCTAGAGTGACTTTGACACAGACGTGCTTCGAAAGGTGTGTGTTTTCAGTTAACAGAGTTAAGTGTCAGAAACCTGAGGGTTGTGTTAGCTGTAGCCACGATCCTTGTGGTGTGGTATATAGATGGGGTTACCTTGTCCAACTGGGAAAGCCCAAGTGATTCTGGGACTTGTGGCAACAGCAGTTATTGCCCTCAGATTATGTGATGAGTATGGGATCTTCTCCAGGTCCTGTTGGGTGGCCATGGGTAATGCTGGGGTTTATAACACAAAAGCCCTAGTCCCAGCAGACAATGTGAAGAAGAACTTGCCCTGGTCCTACAGGGTGAATACATGTTTTCTGCAGATTGTGTGCCTGAAGAAGTGGAATTCAGATAACATTTTTTCTAGGTCCTGCATTCCAATGACTCTAGGGAATATATTATTAACAGTAATGGTCCCAGTGCTTCAGGGGAGGAATGGTACCTTGTTCAGGTACCATGTCTTTATAAAACTACCTTTTATAATATTTTCAAAAGTATGGTACTGTATGTTCTCAAGCATCTTATTACTAAAGATCAGCAATTTTATAATTTAACTGTGTTAGTTCATGTTTATTGAAATTATTAATGCTTTGGTTATAAAGTTTCAAAATTTGGGGGGCTTCTTAAAATTTTTGACCATAATTTGTCCCACCCACTTCATTATTTCTCACCAGCCACTTGCAGAACAGTGATTATTCAGGAATATATGTCCTGCTATAGAAGCAGTTGCATAAAAGCTGTTTATCTGCTGTACTTTATTCCATTGTATGAATAAACCAGTCTGTTACTCAGAGATTGTAAGATTGCTTTTTTTTAAAAGGTTTATTTATTCATTTGAAAGTCAGAGTTATAATAGAGAGGAGAGATATATAGAGAGAAATCTTTCATCCACTGGTTCACTCCCCAGATGGCCTCAACAATCAAGGCTGAGCCAGGCTGAAACCAGGAGCCAGGAGATTCTTCTGGGTCTTCTACATGGGTGCAAGTGCTAAAGGACTTGGGCCATCTTCCACTGCTTCCCCAGGCACATTGGCAGGGAGCTGGATTGGAAGTGGAACAGCTAGGACTCAAGCTGGTATCCACATGGGATGCCAGCACTGCAGATGGAGGCTTAACCTGCTGTGCCAAAATTCTGGCCCTGTGGTTTCTATGTGCAGTTCCACAACATCTTTTTATATGACTCTATGTTCATATTGGCCAAAGTACACCAGATTTAGAATTACTGATTGTTAAGCTATAGCAACAACTTTAATAATGTTCATCATACTTATGTCCAAATAATATGTATATATGAATATTGCTACCAGGAACTAATGAGTATTCTTGTTTCCCAAATTATGATTTTGTGGTTTCAGACCAAGAATTGTGACAACCTGAAGGATATCAATGGCTGTGTTGTTTTAATTTTGTAATTCTCTGATATTTTCTTCAGAGGAATTTAATTATAGCAGTACTTCCTCTGTAGTGGAGCCTTTCCCGAGCTTTTTTACTAATTTTTCTATCCTTTTCTTATTAATTTATGAAATGTTCTCATGATTCGGATATGTCTGAATATTTTCTATACATATGTTGCCATGGTCTGTGACTATAAGTTTTTATGCACATATTTTGTTTTTATTCTTTTGACAGGCAGAGTGGACAGTGAGAGAGAAAGACAGAGAGAAAGGTCTTCCTTTGCCGTTGGTTCACCCTCCAATGGCCACCACAGCCGGCGTGCTGCGGCCAGTGCACCGCGCTGATCCGATGGCAGGAGCCCGGTGCTTCTCCTGGTCTCCCATGCGGGTGCAGGGCCCAATGACTTGGGCCATCCTCCACTGCACTCCTGGGCCACAGCAGAGAGCTGGCCTGGAAGAGGGGCAACCGGGACAGAATCCGGAGCCCTGACCAGGACTAGAAGCTGGTGTGCTGGCACCACAAGGCGGAGGATTAGCCTATTGATCCATGGCGCCGTCCCTGCACATAAAATTTTAAATTTAATTTTAGGTGTTTATTTTTACCAAATTATCCCATTATGTATTTTTGTCTCATTTCAGAAATAATTGTCTGATCCTGATACCCTGTTTTCTTTTATGTCTTATTATTTTAATGTTCACATATACTGTTGCTAATTTTTAAAGCTTGGAAGTGAGGCTTCAATTTTAAATTTTACCTATGGATAGGCACTTTTCAAAGTGTTTGAGAGGGAGAGATGGGGGTGTGGGAGAGAGAGGAGAGGGAAGGGAAGGGAAGGGAAGGGAAGGGAAGGGAAGGGAAGGGGAGGGGAGGGGAGGGGAGGGGAGGGGAGGGAAGGGAAGGGAAGGGAAGGGAAGGGAAGGCAAGGGAAGGCAAGGGAAGGCAAGGGAAGGCAAGGGAAGGCAAGGGAAGGCAAGGGACTAAAAGGGAAAGGAAAAGAAGAAAAAGGAGGGGCAACATCTCTCTGCTGATTACTGGGGCTCAGGTGCCAGAGCTATCATTTCTGCTTTCCCAGGAACATTAGCAAGAAACTGCAAGACTGCACTGATAAATAATAACTGGGGACTCTATTCTGCTTCAGTACTCTATTTGCTTTTGTGGTGGTATCACACTGACTTCTTGCAGCTTTGTAAATTTTAAGTTTGGTAAGATGAGTTCTCTCTGTTTACATCCTCTTTGACATTCTTGCTCTCTTACCATTTGTAGAGATATTTGGACAGTCAAGTTTCATAGAAATTACTATGGGAACAAGATGGCCCAAGTACTTGGGCCGCTGCACCCATGTGGGTTCAGCCACTGATAACCCATGTGGAAATCCTGGATGCAGTTCCAAGCTCCTTGATTCACCCTGGCCTAGTGCTGGCAGTTACAGCCATTTTGGAAGTTATCCAGAAGATGGAAGACCTTTCTGTCTCTCCTCTATCACTCTGCCTTTTAGCTAGATAGATCTATTTAAAAAAATTTTTTAAATGCTTCTCTTAGGAAGAAACAATTTTCAAGATTGATTGTTTGAAACAAATAGATCTGGCACAATGTTACATAAATAAAAGAATAAAATATGTTGATGAAAACTCAGGTTTGCTATTGCAATTTATTTATGAGAAGATCGAAAATGAGTTTGTGAAAGTCCAAACTTTACTCAATAAAATAAATATGTAAAATGTAGAGGCATGCTTAACTCAATTATGGAGTATAACTAAAGCAAAATCATAGAGAAAGAAAAATCTTCATAAAGTCTAAAGTTTAAATGGTTTTACAAACCTTAGCAGTCCTAACACATAGCTCAGAAACTACCCCTAAGAGAGGGAGAGGCTGATGAGAGAGTGTATTAGGCTTCTCAGTTCAGCAACAGTTTTTCCTGTTCATATGTTGGCATTCAAGTATAGTTTCACTTTAAAAAATAAAACTGCTATTTATAAGTCAAATCATCTGATTATCAAGTTTAGAACTATTGCACAAAATGGAATCTACCAAGGTCATTCAAAAGTTCTTTATACAAAGAATGTTGATTGAGATTGATTCCTTCAAAGTTTGGATTTCATAGACTATTTTGCAGAAAGTGAATATTCTGAAGTATCAACTATATGCATAATAATATAACTGCAACACATTCCAAAGTCAAATATGTTTTCATACTCATCTTTTGAATTTAATCTCTCACCTTTATTTCTATATATTAGTAAATATTAAAACTCTAATTCCTTAAGTTCCATCTGTTAGAATTACCAATGCATTCATTAAGTGTACAAGAAAGCACAAGGTGGAGCTTGATGAGTGCACTCATTGTTTAAGATTTACTTATTTATTTTGAAAGTCAGAGTTAGAAAAGGAGAGACACAGAGAGAAATGTTTGCTGGTTCACTCCTGGTCCAGTGCTGGACCAGGTGAAAACTGGGAGCCGGGAGCTTCATCCAGCTATCCTGCATGGGGGGCAGAGAATCAAACACTTGGGCAATCTTCACTGCTTTTCCCAGGCCATTATCAGGGAGCTGGATCAGAGGTGAAGCACCTGGGAAAGAAAGCAGTGTCAATGTGGGATGGTGAAATCACAGGCAGCGGCTTTACCTGTTATGCCACACGCTGGCCCCACATGTGTTCATTTCTTTCTTTTTTAAAAAATATCCATTCTGTAGCATGTAGTTTTTGGACTTGATTTTTTAAAGATTTATTTATTTATTTGAGAGGCTGAGTTATAGAGATAGGGAGAGACAGAAATGTCTTCCATCTACTGATTCAATCCCGAAATGGCTATGATGGCCAGAGCTAGACCAATTTGAAACCAGGAGCCAGGAACTTCTTCTGGGTCTCCCATGTGGGTGCTGCAGCCCTAGAATTTGGGCCATCCTCCACTGCTTTTTCAGGCCTTAGACACCAGAGAGCTAGATCAGAAGAGCAGCAGACAGGACACAAGCCAGTGCCCATATGGGATGCTGACACTGCAGGTGGAAACAATCTACTATGCTATAGTGCAGACCCATGTGTTGTTAAACCTAAGAAAATATTATTACATTTTACTTTACCATCAAAAGCTAGATATGTTTGTTTTTCTAGTCAGAATATTTGATTTGTTCAGTGTTACTAATGTACTAATGTAACTAATGTAATGATTTAAATATATTATCAAATGTTAATTGTGATAATTTGTTATATTTTAAAAGAAATATCACTCTATACATACGTACTAAATATATGACATTTTAAATTATTTTAAATTTATTACACAAATCTTTTGATATGTTTACACAATATATGAAAATTTGAATTCTATTTATTTAAGCACAATAGAATCTTTTTATTTACTACAATCCAGAAATACACTGTTTTACATATAATATGGATAGCTATAATCTCTACTTATAAGGTAGCTTCAAAAGTTTATGGAAAATTCATAGTATAATTGCATGGCATGCTTCCATGAACCTTTGAAAACCCTCATATACACACCTATGTGCACATTTGTATAAAAGTAAATGTATGAAAATATTCAATTATTCACCTGATATGTAACATATCATGGTTAATCTTTATTCTTTTAAGAGTAATCACATATTTCATATATATGCAATTGATCATTTGTACATGTTCAATGTACATACCAAATAACTCATCAAAATCCTTCATTTTAAGCCGAATAAGTGAAATTTTATGTTACAGTTTCAACAAAGCAGTAATATGCAACATTAGGTTAACCATCATACTTTTGCAGAATAATAGTTCCATATTACTGTTCAATGTCAATAATAAGTAGGAAAACAAATAGAAACTATTACCAACCTAGTAGGCCATCTGAACACTATCAGATCTCCTAAAGCTGCCAGCTGAGAATAAGAGAGCTGTTCCAAGCAAACTGTAAATTTTAACTCTCATTTCCTTTCCAAGGCTCATGATCATCCTGTGTTCTAGATGACCCTCAGCTAGAAGTACATTTTCCAAGTGTAGCTGTCGATGTGAAAAAAAAAAAAAACTGGATAAGTATATTGTCTCTAATATACACAGGCTAATCTATAGGTAATTGTGAAAGTAAAATAATTTGGTCATTGATATCCACAGTTGTCTGTTCTAGAAATGTCCCCCACAAGGTGGCTATTTCTTTTTATGGAAAGTCCTAACTTCTCAAATATCTCCGCTCACATACATATTAAATAAGTTAACCCCACTTGTTATTATTTTAAAGATTTGTTTTATTTATTTGAAAGACAGAGTTACAGAGAGAGGAAGAGACAGAGAGAGAGGTCTTCCATCCACTGGTTTACTCCTCAGATGAATGCAATGGCCAGAGCTGTGCCAATCCAAAGCCAGGAACTAGGAGCTTCTTCTGGGTCTCCCACATGGGTTCAGGGTCCAAGGACTTGGGCCATCCTCTACTGCTTTTCCAGGCCATAGCAGAGAGCTGGATCAGAAGTGGAGCAGCAGGGACTAGAACCAGCTCCTATATGGGATGCCAGTGCTTCAGGCCAGGGCTTTAACCCACTGCACCACAACACCGGCCCCAACCCCACTTGGTATTACACACATTCACCCTAGAATTCAAATAACTGATAGATGTATAATCTTCTAAGTGTATTTGCACTTAAATGGAAAAGAAAATGTTCAAGTCTCAAAATACAATTCTAAATTTCAAATATGGCCAATCCTAAATAGAACACTTATTAAAAAGTCATCACTGTTGTTAGTTAGCAACTCATACACTAGCTGTACATTTCATTACATGTGTTTACCTTATGTACAAAACACTGTGAGGAACTGCGTGCTGTACTCCAAGGATTAAGCTCTCTTTCACTTAGCTTTGTAGCATTATAGAAATTCAAAATGTTCTTAGTGAAAACTTGCGTATAACAAATTTAATGTAATTCAGTGTTTCACAAGGGCACATTTTCTACATGTTAACTAAAAATACAACCTTATATGTTAGAAATAGCCTCATGCTCAGAAAAAAATTAATCAGTTCTAAGAAACATATATTCAAATTTAGTATTTCTGTTCTTAATGTTATCTAAAATTTATGCCAATATTTTTCTAATTGTTATACAGAGAAAAGGGTTATGGAAAACTGATGTTTGATATTTTCTGCTACTTCAAGGTGGATCTGTTTAAGAAGTTATCATACCTTTCACATTAGCAAAAGCACATTTTGTTGTACTTCATTTTAAATCCTCAATTACTTTAAAAGTTTTAGATATAAAGAATGAGCCTCTATGTAGAAAACATTTATGCATACATTTATCTATTAAATATATAAATGCATAATATAAAAAGCTACACATAAGTCAGTGATGGTTATTTCTTTATAATTTCCAAAGAATAATTATACATTTACTGGATCTTTGCCTGTAGATGAAGACGAAAGGACAAATCTACTGGTTTTCTCCCTATTCAACTTTTTCCATTTGACACATAGTACAGCATAAAAGTGATTCTCAGGTATTTTTCTAGAAGAGGGAAACTATTATTAAAATTATGTCATTTTCACAGAATTGAATATTTTAGAGGCCATCTTTTTGCATTGATATCCTATAATTAATCCTCTTGTGGTAACACAGGTAGTGGTTGTGCAGCAACAAAGACAATGTAATAATGTCATGACAAAGAGCAAAGCCTGACAAAGGAGGAGTTGCACACTTTTCTCCATTAGAATGTAACAGCTTCCAAAACACAAATAATAAAATAATTGTTTAAGAGCCTGATTTATTTTTAGACATAGCCATGAATAATTTTTTCCTAGTGTTCACCATTCAGTGCCATGGTGTAAACAGCCTGTCTAACCACA